CCAGAGTTCCTGATTCATTAATTGTAGAACAGGATTCAAGAATCTGCATTTGTGATGAGCTCCCAGGCCTAGAGAAGGACAGTGCCAGGTGGGGCAGGGGGCAGCCCTGAGAACTGCTCAGGAAGAACGCTTCCACTAGGACCTGACTTCAAATCAGACAATCTCTCCAAAACTATCTGTAAGAGTAAATCAGTCTCATATGCTAGCTTGTCAGCAACTCCAGAACTATATAAGTAGGTGGGTTGAGAGATTAAAATTACCCAGTGCTCCATTCAGAAGCTCTCACTATATCTTATATATTTGCTGTGTGAAAATATATACTATTATTAGGGGAACACCACGATAAATAGAAATGAAAACACTTGACCCATGACTTTCTAGTTCACTAACAAATTATGTCACATAACCTGCCAAAAAAAAAAAAAAAATCCCATCTCCTTGCTTAAATTGAGGTCCACTCACATCAGAAATGCCAGGGTTTCTTTAGTCATGGAGATTGCCAGGCACCACCCCAGAGGGAAGGCATGATACTGCATTTAAACAAGCACCCCCAAAGATTTTTTTTTTTTTTTTGGTTTTTTGAGACAGGGTCTTGCTATGCAGTTCGGTCAGGTCCTTACTATGTGGGCCAGGCTGGCCTCCAACTCATGACAATCCTCCTGCCTCAGCTTCCTGAGTGCTAGGATTGCAGGCCTGCACCACCACGTCCAGCTCCACCAATTCTTTTTTTTTTTTGGTACCAGAGATCAAACTCGGGATCTTGCGCTTGTGAGGCAGGCAGCGGAACCACTGAGCTAAATCCCCAGCCCCCTCCAGCAATTCTTTTTTTTTTTTGGTACCAGAGATCAAACTCGGGATCTTGCGCTTGTGAGGCAGGCAGCGGAACCACTGAGCTAAATCCCCAGCCCCCTCCAGCAATTCTTTTTTTTTTTTGGTACCGGGGATTGAACTCGGGTCCTTGCGCTTGCGCAGCAATTCTTAATAATACAAAAGTTTGCAGAGACCTGGTACAGTATACCGTACTAACAACTGTAAGGTTCAGTGAGAACCAAACAAAAGATGTGAAAACACACTGGACTTGAAAACTATATAACCTCATATAACACTACCTTCTTAACTTTCTTGATAATGACATCTTTCTTTTTCTTTCTTTCTTTCTTTCTTTTTTTTTTTTTTGCAGTACTGGAGATTGAACTCAGAGCCTTACACATGCTAGGCAAGCACTCTACTACTGAGCTAGTCTTAGCCCTTTTAAAAATTTTATTTTGAAAAAACAGTCTCCCCAAGTTGCCTAGGCTGGTCTTGAACTTGCCACCCTCTTGCCTCAGTTTCCTGAGCAGCTGGGATTACAGGTGGGTACTACAACGGCTGGCTTAACGACATCTTTCTTGACTCTCCCAGTGCTGGTAGAGACAAAAATGTTCAAATTCCTTAACAAGGTAATTTTGTATGAGGGAATTTTTCTCTATTATTATGATTATTCAGGTATACTAGCTAAATTTATAGACTGTCCATTCAGCAATGTTTGTAAAGAAAAAAACCTGGAACAACCCAAATACTGATCAGTAAATATACTGGTAAATAAATCATCATATATTATGTAACAGGAAACTAAGCAGTCAGTACAAAAAGAAAGTCTTCAGATACCAACTGAAGGAATGTCTATTATATTAAGTTTGGCAAGATGCATATATATAATATATGCTGAGAATGAACTAGTATATATATTAGTATACATATATTGCAAATATATGTTTTATATAATATTCTGGAGATGTATATATTTAACTGCTAATAGTGACTACCTTGTGGACAAGGAGAAAGAAAGCAGGGTTTATATATACCTGTACTCACAGGTTTATTGAAGTTTAACTGACTTCAATTTGGTGAGTTGATATATATATATATATATATCCCATCAACATACTCAAGATAGTGCACACAGCCATTACCCCCAGAAATAATCTCATGTCTCTTTCTCTCCCTCTCCCTAACCTGCCCCCTAAAACCATAGATCTGCTTTCTGTCAATACAGATTAATTTGCACTTTTTAGACTTTGGTTGGTTGTTTTTTGAGACAGGGTCTTGCTAAGTAATGCAGGCTGGCTGTGAACTCACTATGTAGACCAGGTTGGCCTTGAACTTGTAGCAATCCTCCTGCCTCAGCTTCCCAGGTGCTGGGATTACAGGCATGTATTACCATGTCTGGCTGCATTTTCTACAATTTTACAGAAGTAGAATAATAGAGAATGAATTCTTTTTTGTCTGACTTCTTTCAGCATAATTATTAAGAGATTTTTTCAGGTTGTTGCATATATCAGTAATTCTTTTTTATTTCTGAGTAATTTCCTGCTGTATGAATATAACACAGCTCATGTATTTATTCATCCAATGGTAAGCATTTGGACTGTTTCCAATTTTTGATTCTTACAAATAAAGCTGTTATTAGCATTTGTGTACTAGTTTTTATTTGTGTACAAATAGACATATGCTTTCATTTCTCTTGCATAAATACTATAAAGGGAAATGGCTGGGTCCTATGTGGGTATGTTTAACTTTTGAAAGAATATGCTAAGATTATTTCCAAAGCAGTTGGGCCACTCTGTATTCCTACTAGTAGAACAAGAAGTTTCTGCTTGTTCTGCATGCTTCTCAATACTTGGTATGGTGTTTACTTTATAGGACTTCTTTGTCTTGTTTGTTTGTTTGCGGTACCAGGGATCGAACTTAGGACATTGCGCTTGCAAGGCAGGCGCAGTGCCACTGAGCTAAATCCCTAGCCCTGTTTTTTGTTTTGAGACAGGGTCTCACTATGTAGCCCAGGCTGGCCTTGAACTCTTGGTGATCCTCCTGCCTCAGCCTCTCAAGTGCTGCTATTATAGGTATGCACCACCATGCCCAGCATTTGTCTTTGATTTTATTTTCTATCTAACACATATTCTATTTTTATAATAAGTTTATTTTCAAAGTATCTTGTATCTATGAAAGTAATAACTCTGGGCATGGAGGTGCATGCCTGTAATCTCAGCACTCTAGAGGCTGAGGCAGGAGGATCACCAAGAGTTCAAGGCCAGCCTGGCCTACATAATGAGTTAGTTCAAGGCCAGCCTGAACTACATAGCAAGACTGTCTCAAAAAACCAAAACCCAAACAAAATAATAATAAAGTCATACCCACTGTGACTTCAAAGAAGGCTCCTAACTTATTTGACTTCGCTGTGTGTCAGTTTCTACACTTGATCTTGGGCCAAAAGGCCCAGAAGTGATCCCAAGAGTCAGTTTCTTCAAAGGAAACAGGGAATTGATGACAATTCCTATGTCACAGAGATACTGGTAGGATTAAATGAGACTACCTATGTTATACACCTAGATCTATACCTGCCATGTAAGAAATACTCAAAAATATGAGTCATCATCATCATCACACTTGTCATTACTCTTTTCACTCTCTACTACTTTTCCCAGTACTACTCTTCTCTGTAAGCAGATGTGATCTTTCTAAGAGAGGTCACAGGCCATGCCATTAACGGAAGCAGCACACAGGCTCTTCCCATCTCTATGTCCTATAGGGCTATCATCCCCCCCCACTCTCCTTCCTCTTTCTGGAAGCACTGGAGATGGAACCCAGGGCCTTACACACGCTATATATTTGTAATAATCAAGGAATAAGGATCTGAACTTTTCTATAATTTTCTCAAATGCTGTCAAATACTAAGCTCCTAAACTGTGAAATGTCTGAGCACAGCACTCAAGGGAGAAGGGGAGTTTTCTGAGGCTGCCTCTACCACAGCATATCCAGGCACCCGACAGAGATGCTGATGAGCGAGAGGACAGAATATAAAGCATCTACAGTGCTCACTTGACTCGCTGGCGCAGAAGATAGAGAACATTCCGAAGACTCCCCAGTGTTCTGTTTTCTGGGTTTAGTCTGTGACGTCCAAACTGAAGAAGGAAAAAAACCAGATAAATAGTCACTATTTATTGCTGCTTTATCTTACTTTCTACCTGGAGAGGAAATTACATTGGAGTAGTGTCTTACAGCATATGATAATAAAAATATCCAACTGGTCCCATAGATTTCATTAACCTTCTATTTTTCAATTAAATAATTGAAATATTTTGATGAAATAAGTCAAAATAAGAAATATATTTCAATAAAGAAAGCACAAGAAAATGGGAGGTGGGGGCAGTTCCTGAGAATTGAATCCAGAGCCTGTGTATACTAAGCACACATTCTACTATTGAGATATGTCTTTAGCCCCAAGAATTTTCCTTTCAACAGAAAATTATGGGGAAAATTCTATCTCCAGAGACAAAAACAAGCCCAGGATGATGATTCAGAATTTCTACAGTGTATGGTCTTCACATTATATGTTGCATTGTAACCATATTAAAATGTTTATGTGAATGCTACTGTATTCCTATTAAGTACCAGTTTTAAAAAATACTTCAGCAAAACTACTTTTAACTGAAAGTAATGTATCTTTTTAACTGAAATACTCTCACTACCACCTCATTTTATCTAGCAATAAATCCTTTGAATTTTCTTCTCTACAGGAGATTTTTTTCTTTTCTTTTTCTTTCCTGGTGGTGCTAGGGATAGAATCCAGGGCTATATGCATGCTAGGCAAGTGCTCTACCACTAAGCTATACCTCCAGCCCCAGAACAGATCTTGCATCTGCCTACATTCCCTCTCTCTTCTACACTGCTGCCATCCTGTTCCAGGCCACTAGCCCCTCTCACCTAGATTGCTGTAATGGCCTTCTACCTGACTGTCTCATCCCTCTTAACTTCTGCCCAATTTACCAATGATAACATCAATTTTCTGAAATTGTACCTGATCACATTACTATCCAGTTTAAAGCCCTTCAGAGGCTTCCCACTGTGCTGAAAAGAAAATTCTACCTACACTTTTCATGACAGCTTCCTTGCTCCTGTTCCAATCTCACTTGAGCAAGCCATTCTGCAGCCAGAGAGGCCCCCTTTCAGGTCCCATGATACACCAGGGCTTGGCAGTCATGACCCTTGTTCCTGGAATGTATCCTCTCCTTTTCATGGATGGGTCTTTATCTTTCCTTGTATCTTGATTCAAATATGCCTCTCCAAGAAGCCACAGAATGCTGTGTATTTCCTTAATAGTTCTTGTCTTAATCTGTAATTATCTATTTATTTCACTTGTTTACCTGTTCATTCTCTCTTCTGCTAACTCCATGAGGGCAGGGATTATGACCATTTTAGTCAATACTGTATAACCAACTCCTCACACATAGTGGGTTGCTTAATAAATATTTAAATGGATAATTAAATGAAGAACTGAAATTTGAAAATGCTTTGGAAGAGCTAAATCATGAATTCCTCCCAAGTGAACTAAAAAAATTAACCTCTGATTTTTGCAAAAATGAATTTCATTCCACACCAAATAAGAAGCCAAGGGATAGCCAGCCTTATTCTTAGTGGAATAAGAATCAAATGGGAAAATAGATGGGGAATACTACGGCATACCAACTTATTGCATTACTGCTACATTAAGATATTGAGATTGCTTTAAATAAGGAGACTATGTATTTTAGGGCATTTGGCTCAATGCAGGGAGAAGACCAGCACTCACCCTCAGAATTGACTGTACCGTCTGCATGGGATAGGTGGCTGTGGTGGCAATTGCTTTGGCTATTGCACCAATGATGAACACATCCAAAGAAGAAAGCTGAGAGCAAAGAATATACCACATGAATCCAAAAAGTATTAGAGATTATTATTTGGCTGCTTTCAAAATCAGAGATTACCTGCACCCGTTTCTTTAAAAGCTGCCGTTTTAAACCTTCATAGAACATGAATTGGATAGCAGGATTGAAGACCAACAGCAAGGAGGGAAATGTGCCATTCCACAAAGCCAAGACTCCTTCATCTCGAATGATCTGGTGAAAAGCATCTAAGCAAGAAATCAGACTTTTGAAAAGCACAAGGACAAAGGCCTAGCTAGAGAAAACAAGATGAATTTTGTTCAAAGGTACCCAGAATACAAACCACACTCCTCAGAAGAGTCCCTTTTTGCAATGCCATTTTAGGGGCAAATGCATTAAGATACTCCTTGTTTGACAACCAAGTTCTGTTCCTGGGAATGGGTTATTAAATGAATTGGTTGCTAAAAGAGGAATTGTACATAGTATATACATTATAATATTCAGAACAAAGAAATGGTCAAAGGAAATTTCAACCTGATGACTTTGCGTAACTCTTACATGAAGTTATTTGTATAACTCTTACATGAAATACTGTAGTGTATAATAGAACATAAAATTACAGTACAATCAGCAAAAATTACAGTACTGTAGAAACAAGGTGCATTGTACCAAAAAAAGACACTGGAGCTCTATAAACAAGATGTACAGAACTGTACAAAAAAAATGATGGGTCGTTAAATCTGAGTGGCAGGTCATAAGTCTGAACAGTCGCTAAACAGGTAGATCATCAAACGAGGACTGTCTGTAGTTTTCTACTTTTTAACAATAAACAGAGCCAGGTGTGGTGGAACATGCCTGTAATCACAGCACTATGGGAGGCTGAGGTAGGAGGATGATAGGTTTGAACCAAGCCCAGGGAACTTTGTGAAAGCCTGACTCAAAATTAAAAAAACAAAAAAATTTAAATGGCTGGGCATGTAGCTCAGTGTGAAGACCCTGGGTTCAATCATCAGTACTACAGGGAAAAAAAATCAGACACTGACTGTTACCAAGCTACTTACTGAAAGACCAACGTCAATCATCTCAATCATAGGAAACTCTTCCTGACCATTTGAGTTTTTAGAATATCAAATTCTTGCTACTACTGAGAACTCCACTACAGAGAATTGTGAAGTGATAACCCACATTTTATAACAAGGTCTAGCACAGCAAAAGATCACTTCCTGGAGTCTATTACACAGGATTTGACCTATTAAGAAAATCACTGTTCCCATTGCAAAGACAGATGCATAAGAAAGGAAAATCTGGGAATGTGATATCATTAAAAAGCAGAAGCTCTGGAGCTGGGGATTTAGCTCAGTGGGTTCATCACCTGCTGCGCAAGCACAAGGATCCGAGTTTGATCCCCGGTACCAACCCCCGCCCCCCAAATAACAACAACAACAACAAAATAAAAAGCAGAAGCTCAAAGCATCAGATACCAATATGGTGTTTCATCCAAAGAAAGAAGTATAATAGATTATTCTTAAAAAATATTTACTTGGGGGCCGGGATTTAGCTCAGTGGTTCTGCCGCCTGCCTTGCAAGCACAAGGTCCCGAGTTAGATCCCTGATAC